GAAAAAGTGTGACTCCATTTAAACACTTATTTACTCAGAAATTGTGGTGTAAGGGATGAGCCGTCCATTCCAGAAACACTCAAAGATGTCCCTCTTTCCTCTGGCCTGATTCATGACTGCAGCTTCATTCTCATCATTATCGTCCTCAGGAGGTGCTAATAAAAACACACAGAAAAACATCAACTTTGCACATACAGAGCTTTTATTTTCAGAAAAATAACTGTCAGATTTCTATACCTTGAATAATATTGGGATCTTTCGGGTAAGTCTCCTTGTCATAGAGGAAAGGATGATATCTCAGGATTCCGTCCACGATGCCACCCTCTTGTGTGGTGGCCTTAAACTCAAACGTATCGACAGCTGAGTTTATGTACAGAGTCTGGATGTCATCATTCACGTTTCTGAGATTTACCCCAATTGGACTTTTAGAAGATTTATATCGCCGAGTTACCTTATAAATTATAAGAAAGAAATCCGGAATGCAACAAAATTTGATAGGCTGAAGGGTTTTTAAAAACAACAAAAATCAAATTATCAAAAAAACAGTGTAGTACAGAGCTACTGTGCATTCAGCATCTGAACAAGTTAAATAATATAAAAAAACGTTGGGAGTGGATGATGACTGCAGGTGATGAACAGAAAATGCAAGAAGAGGCCATATTTTGCTTTGCATGAAAAACAAACACACTCTGTTAAAGGTGTAGTAGAGGATGTTCTATTTCCGGGTGGATCATTAAAATAAGTGGTCCGCCTGATTGTCAAACATTCTGGTGATATGTTAATGTAAGGCCGTCCTACGTGCTCGTTCCCATTTTAAACTAACCCTATGCCGAGAAGTACCCGGCAGCCAAGAATTACCCCTTTTCATTCATGTTTCAATCAGTTTTCTTATTCACAGGGGAGGAAATTCTCAGCAGGCTGGTATTTCACATCATTTCACGGTGGTGTGTCTGACATAGGGGAAAAATTGCAAATCTTGTGGAAAGTAAGCATTTATGAGCGATGCAAACAGCAACTTTTAAACAAAGAGTGCACAAGGAGAAATGGGCTTGTGCATGCTCTTGCACGGATTTAATAGGTGTTCTCTCCCAGGAGCAGGTGCAGGGTTGTGAATTTGCATTTAAAAAAAAAAATCTGTGAAAATCCTTCACTATACCTTTAATGTCCTTAAAGGGCCCAACCAGATCCCACACTTAAATTCCTGTGGTTTTTTCTTTTGCTGCTCCATGACCTTCCATAGCTAATTACAGAGTCAACCCCTGTGTCTGATTTTAAAGCAATCTTCTCTTTACCTTTGCTTTTAACACCACGTGAAATGCTGATTTTAGCCTGCAATGTTATTTTTATATTAGAGACATTTTTCGTTTTATGTTTTGTAACATATTTTTTACTTTTATTGTTTTCTTAAATGTTTGTGGGTTTACTGCTTTTGTGCAATGTACAGCATGCCGCTCCTTGGATAATTTTAAAGTCCTATACAAATAAAGCTGGATAGGATTAGATTTCAAGTTACATTTTTTACTTAGAGGTGGAAAATTCTAGCCTGGGTGCCATTCCGAACTTAGTCCCGCCCACAAAGTTTGAGGTCGGGAAGTTCAGTCTGGCTCTGCTCCATAGTAGCGTGAGTATTATCGCCCACT